TCTCGTATTTTGAATTTACCTGCTCATATTTTTAATTTAACTGCTCCTATTTTAACACTCGTTTTCTATATTCTGAATTTAAACACTCATATATTTTTAATTTAAATGTTAGTATTTTAATGTGTTAAAAGTTTAATTATGGCCCTAATGACACAAATTATAGAGATGTTGGAACATGCTAAACACAACAAGTTGTTTGCTTACGATTTTGTATTGACTCCGCCATTCCCATCTGTTTTTCGATTTTCAACAGCTTATTTGTTAAAAATTCAATTTCTTTCTTTCCTTCCTCTTGTTGCTCTTTGAAGCGTTTTGTTAGATCTTCTACAAGAGCCTTCATTTCATCTTTGTCTTTCTCCGCAGCTGTTTAGTAAGACGTACATGTTTTAACATATTAATCACCACCCCTCAGAAAGACATAAACATAACATATATCTTCCAGTGTCGCACACGTAAGCCAATCATATATTTTAACTGAAGTATACCATCAACACCAGTTTCAGAACGCAGTATGCAGTATGCATGAAAAATACTTACTTTCTTTGAATTGAACTAACTGTTGCGATAAAAGAAGGATATTCCTATCAACTTTGTCCCTGAAGTCAAATAAAGTTTTACGCAATATCCCAATATCGGAAAGCAATGAATCATTCTTAGTGATTAGGTCTTGTTTCGCATCTCCAATGTCTGATTGAATGTCTGCTTTGATCTCTGCAATATCGTCCTTGAATTGTGACCTCTGGGCTGCAAACATTTGTGCCATTCCTTCCATTACTAAGGATAAGAGTGATACACAGAAGGTAAAATATTGTATTTTTTTATTTTAAAATCTTAGAACTCCCAATGGATTATCTAAATGTAAGTGAGTGTCAGCATCCTTTATTACTGTTTTTGTCAAATTACCTCAAACCCTTCAAAAAGTAGTGTGCATGGCATCATGGGAAGACACGGCGTGCATTGTCGTATAATAACTGTCATAAAGGTGTTTGACATGTCATACTTATTTTCAACTCTGGAAGGACAGTTGGGATCTATCAGGTGTAACTGTGATTTACATAACAAAGGGTTTTAAAAACGTTGGTTCAACCATCATTCTGCGAGACTTGTATGAACTGCTATGCGATCTACTGCTTTCAGCAGTGCCCTCCAGAATAACGGTGTTCCTCTGCAAGTAAGACTCCTGTGTTGTGTTGCAGAAGTCATTGACTGTCGTCCATTTCTACATCCTGGAACTGTGAGTTATCACTAATGCTCACTTCCCTAGGCAATCCCCTATTATAGTAACTTTATTCATTGTATTTTTCTGTGCTTTATTTTTTGTAATTATTTTGAGAGGTATTAAAGCCAGGAGCTTTGACTCGATATGTTGGTGAATGTGTACTTTCCAGTACCATTGTCTTGTCTCCCCCATTCTAGCAGTGCGAGTTCTGTGGATGGCCCTCTCAATTGCAATAAGCAGGCCTTACACTTTGACAGCGAGTTAACAGCTCTTTCATTGTATGATATTCTATAATCGATGAATTGAAGACATGATAGTTGTTGTTTATTACAATAATCAAAATGCTTACTTTCTGCTCCACTTATTTCACTCTTCCTTACAGGCCGGTTGTAAGTAATAACTGGCTTGCCTTTGACAGCAACACTATCTGCGAAATTGAAAGCAAAATTGCAGACGATTTTTGAATTTCACGTCAGTTGGGCTAATTGACATGATAGAAACATACCAAAACTAGGGTTATGTCTTACGAACACTAACATTCCAATCCCGGAAAATATCACACATTTTCACCTGCAATATTTTGAGTTTTCTTCTTTTCAATTCCGTTCTCGAGTCTTCCTAGCACTGTGGTTGGTCCGCTTAACTTTCTTATGCCGTTGTAAAGGAGTTGAAATCCATACTCTCGCACTTCGAGTATTCTGATCAACTCAGCCAATTTATGTTCTCCTGGCAATCTTCTCTTTAAACAAATAAATGCACTTGACCATTGTTATTTAGTAACACGATGTACACAAACAAATTATGCTACATTTCACTAATGTATATTACCTACCTGCAATCTGTCGTTATCTGCAGCATTGAATACCTTGGGATTTATTTTCTGTATTTCATCAACAACTTTGTCTATGTTGACGTTTTCCGAAATAAACGTCAAATTATCTCGCACTATCTTTTTTTGCTCGTCGTTCATTATCTGAGATGGATAACCAGAATATAAAATGCACATTCATTAAATAAAATGTATATGGTTTATATCGATTGTATTACGTATTGTATTAACTAAATGGCCTCAAGTGTAAATTCAGTATATTTATGTGCTAATTTTGTGTTGACACCTTAAGGTACGATACATTTAATGATACAGTCGTATTGTACTCTATGCATGAATAAACCTAAAGGTTTTTTCAAAAGAAGGAAAACACATTTAGTTAACTTGCCGGCGGAGATCACAATTATTCACTGATTTCGTTTTTGTGAATTAGCAGTCATGCACATCATGTTAAATTAATTAATGTCCTTTTTGTTGATTCCCTCCACTGCTGACATGAATAGCTTTCTTTTGTACTATGAGTCAGCCATACACAACTTTTAGATGTTGGATATACAATACGATCTGTTGTGAAAATATCTGCCTCATCGCTAGTCACAGTGGCGGATCCAGCAAAATGTATTGGGGGGGGGGGTCCAATCTACGCTTAAGATATACGGACCGTAAATCGCAGAGAAGCTATGCGTAGTCCAGATGATACGAATCGTCATGCGTTTTTTTTTTTTGGGGGGGGGGCATGCCCCCCTTCTGATCCGCCACTGGCTAGTGATAGTTTGCGCTGGTTCATGATACTGTTTCACCTGATGAGGACTATTAAACGATTTGCAACAATATGTCAAATCATAACGTGGTAATATGCCTTTTGCATAACCTTCACAGTGTCATACATCCTGGAACTTTTGGTGGTACAAATCAGTTAAACATAGTAAAATAATGGGAAGTATTGTTGCTATTGGGCAACAATATCTCAGTAAATGCCAGGATGCGTGACCTTTAGGGGTCAATGCACTAGGCCTGTTATAAATATTGGTGAGCCTATGCGATGTGTGTAGCAACGTACCGTCGTATATGTAAACAATGACATGCAGCCGTATACATTGAAGAGATTGGTTACAGAGGGTAGTGTCTGAGTAACCACATTTTTGTCTCATTTAATGACCTAATCAGTCTTGGTTAAATTTTCCGGCAAGGATAAATATACGTGATACTCATATTCATAAAGTGGTGCAATATTGTCATATTCTAAATAATATGCGCACTATTCAATAATAACATTTACCTCGTGCTGTAATATCAATTTGTTCAAATAAAACTATCACACAATGTTAGCTACGTTGCCAATACACAACCAAACACAACATTCAATTCGAATATGTTATGCAATTTACTAATGTGTGAAAAGTCTTAACGCAACGAATTAGAGTTTGTTATTCTATATCAGTTTTTGGTTATATGAATTTAAAAAATAAGTTTTTCAGAGGTAAATTTCGTTTCGTTACTTTATTACTCACACTAAAATTTGCAAACTAAAACAATTCTAAATGTTATATTCAATTGTATCTGAACACATGCATGACTGACTGTGTATAATAGTTATATATTGTTCTACAGAGAGTACTTACTAATAATCTTGTTAATTTGACAAATAACAATATTTTCCAGTTTTCGATGTCTGGTCAGTCAAATTATATAGTCTTGTTGAAATGACCATGCGTGTACAAGTCTGCATACAATTGATGGTTGATATACCAGCTGATTTTTGATTGGTTCGTCCACGATTTTCTGTATGCTGTGGCTAAGGTCGCAGTGGTGGCTCTGCTCAGCTGCAAGGTTTTGGTAAGCAGTAGATTATTCTGTGATATTTCTAGATGACAGAACAGTGTTTCGCGTACGGAATAAAGCACTAACGCTCGTAGCTAAATGGCAGCCCTGCAGATACTATCTATTACGTTAAGTTCCCTTATACGTCCCATTAATTAAACGAGCTCGAGATGGTCATAATTTTTCATCGGACAATAGTGCCACGCACTGTTGCTGAATGCCATGACAGATCCTGAGATTTTGCTGATGGCGCTATCAATAAAATTAAATACAATAAAACACGTGAAAAAACAGTTTATGCAAGACAATATACAGAAAAGTATACATGCACAAATGCTTAGAAAAAAAAGGTGGAAATTGTTTTTTTAACTATGTTTAATTCTATGTTAGGTAAAATATAGTGATGTGGGGAATATTTCAATTAATAAGCTGATACACATAATGTGTTTTCTATGCTCAGTTGTTTTCAAAAAGTAGAAGCTATGTGCTGGCTGATGTCCATGCTGTAACAAACACGAGTTTTGCCATCGATTGATCATGCGCATTTTGTGAACGAACTCTATTATTCCGCGTGATTTGCCCGAGAGGGGGTGTATTTGATAAAATACATGCATCAGATTTCAAATCGAAGTGCCTGTAAAGTATGCATCCAATCAGAGTTGGTGCAGCATCGTAGAAGTGAATTCACTTAGCTTTTCTAGCTTTCTGATTTACAATAGAAAGGAGATGTCACGATGTGATAATATTATTGCCACGAATTAATGGTAGCATTTACGCCGTCTGTAAGAAATGTTGTCATGTTGTTACATCATCTTGACCAGAGAGTGAAAGTGGGTACATCAGGCAGTGAACAATTGTTGTATTGTTTATCACAGCGAGCATGAACACAAAACCGGAAGCGTGCGTGCATGTTCTATTCATCGCCGTGATATCGTACTTCAACGATACGCGGATGGCAAATGGATAGTATACTAAGTAAATATGCATTTCCAACGTAAGCTATCATTGAAAAAAATAGACACATCTTTCGTATCCTCATAAATTGTATGTTCTGTAATATTCCCGTTATTAGCTTTGCCATTACGGACTGTCTATATCCGTGCAAGGTCCATGCTCTATGGAAGCAAGCCTGCAATGAATAAAACGTTCGTGCTGGACAAGTTCCTTTTTATGTACCTTATTGACGTTATAGAAATCCACAAACGAAAATGGCTACCACTTGAGACGACGCCTCCACAGGCGTGAATAGGTTAATGCACGCGTTTTTTTTTGCACACACACACGAAAAAAAAATCATTCAAAACAGCGCCCCCACTGGCGTAAATAAGTTAATGCACGCGTTTTTTCATTCAACCTCACACACGTCATTTTTAAAAACACACACGTCATTTTTTAACACACACGTTGTTTTTAACACACACGTCATTTTTAAAAACGCACACGTCATTTTTAAACACACACGTCATTTTTAAACACACGCCATTTTTAAAAACACACACGTCATTTTTCAACAGGCACGCCGTTTTTAAAGACACGCCATTTTTAAAAACATACACGTCGTTTTTAAACAGACGCATCGTTTTTACACACACGTTATGTTTTTAAACACACATTATTTTTAAAATACACATGTCCTTTTAAACACACACGTTTTTTTAAATACACATAATTGTAAACACACACGTCATTTTAAGACACACATCATTTTTAATTCACACGTCATTTTTAAAAACACACGTTTTTTAAAACACCCACGCCATTCAATATACACACATGATAAAACGCACAGTCACGCCGGTTTTTTTTAAATGCACACATCATTTTAAAACACCCACGCCACGGCCTCCAATACGAACGTAATTTTGAATTATTAGTACGTTTTCTTCTAGTATACACAAAATAATAAATTTACATTCCGCGCCTCGTAAACGCGAGTACAAAAAAACGCATAACACTGGTTTACAATGTTTAATTTTTTTATTACATGAAATAACATATTACATACTTAAAATATAAGTGTTGTTATTGTGCGTGAGAGATGTATGTTACATGTAGTTTTAGATGGTGGATGTATGCGATAAAATAAATAACACATGGTCATTCGAGCAATATGACGATTGCCTCGATAATTCCTTCCTTCGACGCTGTTATAATCAATAGTATGCTCACGACCACTATCACTTGGACAGGCAATAAACCATGTTATTGTACCTTGTAGCCCTATCATCCAATCATATTCGTGCATGTGGCACTCAATATAAATATATCGGCCTCTCGGCGGTCAAGAACGTATTATTTAGCTTCTGCGCTTGCGCAGGCGTTATATTATAGTTAACCTAGAAAATGCGGATTCACCATGGAGGCATGTTGGTGTCACCTTTAATTTTCTACCAGACCGAGGAGCTGTAACGTTATCTGCTAAACACGGCATCTTGATTATTTTGAACGAGTCATGTTCCAAGTGCATACTTGTAACCGGGAAATAATCACGAAAAATCACGATTATATCATTTGTCGACCGTGCCGTTTACGTAGCTAACGAGTGGCCCCAGTGGAGTGTGCGCGCGTTTCATGTGTAAACGTCGCGGCTTCTGAAATGTCGCTCATGTCTAGTTGATACCTACAAAAATCTTAAATGTGACTGTAATTTTGGGAGGGATTACATAGTATGAATAAATATAGATCACGGGAATTGTCATGAAAAAGTTACGTGTAAATAACGTACATTTTGGTTGTTGTCATTAGAATGTTTTACAAAATATTTGTTTTATTCGGTTAAAGTAATACAAATATTGACCCCAGCCTCAGTCGACATATAGGTCTGTCGGCCATAAGGCTTCGCCTTGGTTAACAATCTTTTCTTCGGGTCAACAAATCTGTATATCGAACCTTGGCCCTGGTCAAGATAAACATCGACACGTTATGGCCGCATGCCCCCTGGCTTTAAGTATATTAAAGGGCGGCAGTCGTCGTGCCGCGTCCTGTTCGATATGGGACTCATAGCGACGTATACAACGCGTGTAAAATACATTGTTTATTTACATGAAATTCGAACACGCGCTGCGCGACGACCACCGCGCTTTAAATTAACTTGTGTATACTATTTCTCCTTGACACACTGGCTATAATGCACTGTACTGAACTGGCTATAACATGCATGAATAACGTCACGAAGCTAAAGTGGATTAGTAGGTGAACATTCAAGGCTTTCGGGGTTCAAGTACCTGACTAACCCTTCGAACTCCACATTCAGAAACAAATGTAGCATGTTGCCAAATGTTATGTATTTCTGTGTTATAAAATTAACAAATGAAATGATGATAATTATATAATAATTATAACTAATCTGGATATAATTATGTTGTTGACTTCTGTAAACATCTTGTAAAAATCATGTGTTTGCCGTTAGTTGCTGCATACATTAAATATTTGAAATACCATTAAAATGTGATTACAAATTATGATAAAATCTGCTTTGGAAACATTGTTTGATCAACACATATGATCATTGTATCACCAACAATAATCTAGGATGTGCATCTGATATGTTATTTAAATATCACGTGACATCAAATTTAATTACGATCCTTCAGCTCCAGCTTCCGTTCCAGAATCTTCAGAATCCCCCATACCTGCAAATATTGCTGTAATTAAGAATGGTCTATTATGTTTCGTGCGCATGTAGCAGATTCATATATTTCACCTTGAAAATCAAATCGAGGTATATGTTCACCGTATCGTTCAATAATAGATGTTATCCCATATCCGTGTTTTGGTAATATAGAAACACGTTTTGAAATCTTATTAACAATTGAAGATGACTTGATTTTACCTTGATCTTCGCGAGAAAGTGTTTCCTGTCGTTGCATTCGTTGCTCCAATAAATTCAGTTTCTGGTTTGTTGCCTGTATGTAGTATTGGATATTCGTTTTCATGTCTTGAATTTCTTTTCTTATCTGTTCCTCCTTGTTAAATATCGCCGTCATATTACCATCTCCACGTTCTGTAAAAATGATATTGTTCATTTAAATAACCTGGTCGATTATAACATCATACCATAAATGAATAATGTGTATGAGACGCGATAAAATTAAAAAAAGTTCCCAGATACGTATGCTACAGAAATGTCGTTGAATTCGAAGATGACACAGTAGTTTTTTTTCTTTATAAATGTCAATGTTATTACGTGGTCAGATAAACTATAGATGCGATACCGAAAGAGAGTGAAACTCGAAGAGCAAACAACAAGATCTTTGCGGCTCTTTGTTTGTATCTAAGATATATTATACGAATGAATGCTTGTTATATTTGCCTGTTTCTGTATTTCCGATTCTCCTTTCTAGTTCTGCGAGTTTGTAAGTAATACTTTCGATTTCTCCTTTTCGTTGCTTTTGTTGCTCTTCGAACTTTTTGGCGAGATTCTCGACCAGGCTCTTAGTTTCACGTTTGTCTTTTTCTGTGGCTATTTAACAAAAATAAAATGATTTAGTATTGTGATCAATGACACATTGTCAGTGAAAAGCAACGTCTATATAATTATGTAGGGTGACTGAATGTGTAATCAATTTATAGCATCGAGTTTTAGGGAGTTCCTTTTAGAGCACAATATCCTATTCGTTACAAACACCCAGTATCATTAAATTATAAGACAAGAATGGATACTTAAATGTCTATTTATGTAATATATGAGGTCGTTTTCTTCATTCTGCTTGCGTCCATGCGAACGACAAAAAAGCAAAGCAGATCAACGGCACTACAAACACAATTGACACTATTACATAAACAGTAATGAGCTTAGTTATCGCCAACTTTAAAACAACAACAATAAAACAGACAAAAATTACGTGTGCATTGGGAGTTATACTGGATAAAATAAAATAAAAATATCAGACTCCCTAATTGATAATAGCGTTTTAGTAATATATTTCAATGCAATGTTTATTTCGTTATTATACGTGAATCTGAATTGAAAATTCTCTGCATACCAAATCAGGTGCATCAATATAACTATTTGTCACTATGTAATATCGTATATATATATATATATAGCATGGTAACAATTTCCCTGAAACATTTCGTAAAATAATGTTTATTGACCTCCTTACATTTTTTAAATTCAACTATCTCATTTGACAGGAGTTTGAGATTAGTGTTCACTTTGTCCCTGAAGTCAAATAAACTAGTTCGCAGCTGTGCAATGTCTGAATAAAGTGAATCAGTTTTTAAGACTAATTCTCTTCTGGCGTCACCGATTTCCGATTTGATTGTAGACTGTCCTTCTTTGATCTGGTTCATTTCCTCTTTGAATCGTGCGTCTTGACTCGCAAACATATCTCTCATACCTTCCAATACTAGAGAAAAAATATAAAGACTTTACGGGAATTGTAAACTACTGATACCGCGATCAGAAATCTATTCAGATACACTTCTTAATGAAGTATTTATCTCAAGGACTGAACCACTCCTAAATGGAGTTAAACGTGGTAACATACATG